TGCAATATGACCTCATGGCTCCGAAACTCAATCCCTCTACCAATAAAACCTAACATACCGTACGCCTTCTTAACAACGCTATCAACCTGGGTGGCAACTTTCAGTGATCTATGCACATGGACACCGAGATCTCTCTGCTCATCCACACTACCAAGAATCTTACCATTAGCCCAGTACTCTGTATTCCTGTTACTCCTTCCAAAGTGAATCACCTCACACTTTTCCGCATTAAACTCCATTTGCCACCCCTCAGCCCAGCTCTGCAGCTTATCTATGTCCCTCTGTAACCTGCAACATCCTTCCGCACTATCCACAACTCCACCGACTTTGGTGTCATCCACAAATTTACTAACCCATCCTTCTACACCCTCATCCAGGTCATTCATAAAAATGACAAACAGCAGTGGCCCCAAAACAGATCCTTGAGGTACACCACTAGTAACTGACTCACTGCTGCTACTGAGCAACGGTGGGTGAGGGAGCGGATGCTTGTTGGCATGGTGCCAATCAAGTGGGCTGCTTTGTCCTGGATGTTGTCAAGCTTCTTGAATGCTGTTAGAGCTGCACTTGTCCAGCCATCATACTCCTGACCTGTGCTTTATAGGTTTTGGGAGTAAGGAGGTGAGTTACTCGCTTCAGTATTCCCAATCTCTGAACTGCTCTTGTTGCCACTGCATTTATATAGTGAGTCCAGTTGAGTTTCTCGTCAATGGTAACTCCCATGATGTTGATAACAGGGGATTCTGTGATGGTAACACTATTGAATATCGAGGGGTGGTGATTAGATAATCTCTTATTGGAGATGGTCATTGCCTGGCATTTGTGTGGCGCGAAACTTGTCACATGTCAGCCAAAGCCTGGATATTATTGCATTTGAACACAGACTTCTTTAATATCTGAAAAGTTGCGAAAAGTGCAGAACATTGTGCAATGATCAGTGAACATCCTATTTCTGATCTTATGATGGCGTGAAGGTCATTGATGAAGTAGTTGAAAATGCCTGGGTCTGGAACACTACCCTGAGGAACTCCTGCAGAAACATCCTTGAGCTGAGATGAATGACCTTCAACAACCATAACCATTTTCCTATGTGCCAGGTACGACTCCAACACTAGAGTTTTATCCTGATGGATTCCAGTTTTGCTAGGGCTTCTTGATGTCATACTTTGTTGAGGGCAACTGGTTAGCTCAGATGGTTAGAGTATTGTGCTAATATTGTCAAGGTCATGGGTTCAATCCCTATAATGGTCAATGGTGCTGGCCTCTTCCTTAGATTTCAGGGCGGCACGGTGGCTCAATGGTTAGCACTGCTGTCTCACAATGCCAGGAACCCAGATTTGATTCCACTCTTGGGTGACTGCCTGTGTGGAGTTTGCACATTCTCACCGTTTCTGCATGGGTTTCCTCCGGGTGCTCCGGTTTCCTCCCACAATCCAAAGATGTGCAGGGTAGGTAGATTGGCAATGCTAAATTGCCCATAGTGTTCACGGATGTGTAGATTAGGGGGATGGGTCTGGGTGGGATGCTCTGAGGCTGGTTTTGGACTTGTTGGGCCCAAGGGCCTGTTTCCACACTGTAGGCATTCTATGAATGTGATCTGGACATCTAGGACTGTCAGTCTCCCCTCACCTCTGGAATTCAGCTCTTTTGTCTATGTTCAAACCAAGGCCATAATGAGGTCAGCAGATGAGTGGCCCTGGTGGAACCCAAACTGGGCATCACTCAGCAGGTTGTCACTGAGCAGGTGCTGCTTGTTAGCAGCGTTGATGGCACCTTCCATCAATCACTTATCTGATGATCAAGAGTAGACTGATGGGATAGTGACTGGCCGGATTAGATTTGTCCTGCTTTTTGTGTTAAGGACATTCCTGGACAATTTTTCACATTCAACACAAACAGAAGTTGCTGGTAAAGCTCACCTGTGAAGAAAAATCAGAGTTAACGTTTTGGGTTGGTGACCCTTCTTCAGAAACCAGACCTGAAACGTTAACTGCTGCCAGACCTGCTGAACTTTTTCAGAAACTTGATTTTTTGTTCCTGATTCACAGCATCTGCAGTTCTTTCGGTTTTTAATTTTTCACATCTTCAGGTAGATGTCAATGTTGTTACTGTACTGCAACAGTTTGGCTAGAGGTGCAGCAAGCTCTGGAGCACAAGTCTTCAGTGGCATTGCCAGAATGTTGACAGGGCCCAAAGTCTCCAACCATTTCTTGATATCACATGGAGTGAATCAAATCAGTTGAAGCCTGGCATCTGTGAGGCCATGGACCTCTGGAGGAAGCCAAGGTGGATCATCCACTCAGCACTTCGCGCAGAAGATTGCTGCAAAATCTTCAGCTTTGTCTTTTGCACTGAGGAGATGGGCTCTTCCATCATTGAGGATGGGGATATTTATGGAGCCTCCTCCTCCACTGAGTAGTTAACTGTTCACCACTATTCACGTCTGGCTGTGGCAGGACTTAAGAGCTTAGATCTGATCTGTTGGTTATGGGATTGCTTAGCTCTATCACTTGCTGCTTATGCTATTTGGTATGCACGTAGTCCTGTTTGGTAGCTTCACCAGGTTGACATCTCATATTTAGGTATGCCCTCCTACACTCTCCATTGAACTCCTGGCTTGATAGCAATAGTTGAATGGGGGTATGTCGAGCCATGGGTTGCACATTGGAGTATAATTCTACTGCTGTTGATGAGCCACACTACCTCATGGATGCCCAGTCTTCAGTTGCTAGATTTGTTTGAAGTCTGTTCCATTTAGCACAGTGCTAGTGCCACACAACATGATGGAAGGTATCCTCAGTGTGAAGATGGGAGTGAGTCTCCACAAGGACTATGTGGTAGTCTTCTTACCAATACTTAATGGACACATGCCTCTGTAGCTAGCAGACTGATACGAATGAGGTCAAGAAATTTTTTTCCCTCTTGTTGGTTCCTTCACCAACTGCCGCAGACACAGACTAGCAGCTAGGGCTGGACAGAGCAGAAAGGGCGAAGCTGTTTCCACTCATAAAAACAAAAGGAATGAGAAGGAATAGATTCAGCGTGATGTGCAAACGGAGCAAGGGTGATGACAGGAAAAGGCTTTCTCACACAGCAAGTGATTACTGTATGCAATGCACTGCTTGGAAATGTGGTGGAGGCAGATAGCAATGGATGATTATTTGGATAGAAATGGTGTGCAGGGATAGTAGGAGAACACTGGAGATTGGCAGTAGGTAACAGAACCTGTACAGGCATAATGGGTTAAATGGCTTCCTTCTGCAGCAAAACAATTCTGTGATGCTGTGAAGTATTATCGCAAGCGTTATTTTCTCAAATATTGGCTGGTTTTCAAATAAATTTAACCAGAGTCCAGAATTATAAAATTGAGCATGAATTGGACTAAAAGAAACTGATTGGAAGACAAAAAATTGTGAGAAATGAAAAGTGAAAGGCATAAATCAAACAATACCTAGCTATCTTAATCTTGAGGGTAAAAGCAATCATAATTTACATTCACCACAATTCCTATTTGTCCATGACAACAGATTAATGTAAATCAATGCAGTAACAAAGGCAAATTCAGATCTACTTCCATGAATAGAGGGCTGTATTGAGAAGATTGGACAAGCAAGGTTTGACACAAAAATTGACATATTAAAGGAATATTGCATTCCACTAACTGAAACAGCCAAAAAAATTTTTGGAATGCTAGATGAAATTTATCAATGTAAAATTGTGCCGTTCGGGATGAAAAACACATCAGCAACTTGTCAATGAATAATAAACAATATATTTAAAGGATGATGCAACTATGTTATATAAAATGATTTGTGTTCAGCCAATCCTGGGAGGAATATTACAACAATTGAACCAGTTGTTTGTTCAATTACTAAGAGCCGGCTTGATTATAAACCTGGCTAAAAGTGAAATTGTGAAAGCAGAAGTGGCTTATTTGAGCCACACTGTGGGATAAAGCTAAATAGCCCAAGAACAGCAAAAGTAAGAGCACTGTGATATCACAGATTGTGTCTTTCAGATGAGGCATTTAACCAGGGCCCATCCAACTACTCAGGTGGATCTAAATGATAGCAGAGCATAAAGGTTTGGACCAATATTTAAACCTCAATTAATATTTCACCATAAGATTAGAAGAAATAGGAACAGGAGTAGCCTGTTTGGCCCCTTGAGCCTGTTCCACCGCTCAATAGGATCATGGTTGATCCAATACTTAGATTTTTCTTAGATTTCTGAGAAACACTACTGTGTGGGAACAGGCACTTTAGCCCAACAAGTCCACACCAACTCTCAAGAGCATCCCACCCAGACCCATCCCCCAAGCTGCAAATCCCTGAAGACTATGGGCAATTTAGGATGGCCAATCCACCTAACCTGCACATCTTTGGACTGTGGAGGAAACCGGAGCACCCGGAGGAAACCCATGCAGACATGGGGAGAATGTGCAAACTCCACACAGATAGTTGCCCGAGGGTGAAATCGAACCCGGGTTCCTGGCGCTGTGAGGCAGCAGTGCTAACCAATGAGCCACCTTACCACCGTTATATACTCCTCACATCTACTTTCCCACCCCTTCCACAAAATCACAAAAAAGAACTGATTGTTATCACATTGTTATTAATGGAGCTTGCTGTGCATAAATTGGATATTGTATTCTTACATTACAACACTGCAGGTAATGGGATTGGTGTAGCTAGGTGTTAGTTGGTTGGCATAGACATGGTGGGCTGAAGAGTCTCTTTCTATGCTGTCTGACTCTATGAATGTGTCAGCAGGTACAAACGCCTTCAGCTTACATTGAGACACTTTGTCAAACTATTTATTTAATGACAATTTGTATGTATCCAAGTGTTTTGTGTTTGATATAAAATGCTTACCTTTAAAAGTATGAACAACATAAAACTTGTAAAGTTGTGGAACAGCAGCATGTGACTCATCAAATCTTAAATCCCACACATTATGCTTCTGGATGATCAAAGACATTCAGAAAACTGGCCTATTTTTGCAGTTTCTAACAAGCAGTTTATTCAAAACAAAAATGAAATCAAAACCCAAAGATCATGTTTTTTTTAATGAGCACATTTATTCCAATTATAGCTTTAGCTTAGCCATTGTCCCAAAATACCAAAGTTTTAAGAGTCAGGGATTCAGTCAATATCTATTTACACTAGTGCGGTCAGTGATAGCCGAATTACTGAAGATAGGAAGCTGACATTTAATCCATTCAACATATAGTAAATTAGCATAGTCTATCCACTGAATGCACTATGGAGAACTTGGTAAACAAGTATGCCATGATCAAAACTCAAATAACTTAATGGGACTATGCACCATATGTCATACAGGTCACTGTACAAGCTGGTGTAAGCTATGTTATCCAAATATTGACCCAACTTGGCTTCACCTCAATTACCTGGCAATGAGTGCTCCTAAACTACTAAAAGATAAACTTAAAAATAAACTTAAAAAATCCACCAAATTTTCTCCTTATCATAAAAAAATAAATACAGGTTACGAAACTACAGTTATTTGTACATTTTAAGAAAAAATATAATTGTTAGGAGCGAATGATAAATCAAAGACATTTACATTTAAAACTAGTTTTTCAAAAAAAAGATCAACTTTAAACCTTGCTTGAAGATTTTTTTTAAGCCACAACTTGAATAGTTAAGTTTTGGTCCAAAACTAGATACCTAAACATGACGTTTTAGTCATTGAATTTAATTGGTCTTTTTTCCTCCCTGTGCAAGCTACTAATATTAAGCTCCACCTTTGCACAAAGGCTATATTAATAAGGAAAAGTTGGAAAATGAGGCAGTTGTGTCTAAAAGAAAGTGATGGTAAATCCCAGGCAAGTCTTTCACATTTTAGAAACGTTCCAGATCATTCACTTACTTTCTTAAAAACATATTGAAACAGAAGCTTAACAAGTAGATTTTAAGAACAAACAGAACAGATAATTCAATACCCTTCAAGTTGCAGCTTGTATGTACAGTACACAGTAGCTATAGTTAAGGAACGTTCTTTTATATTGTCCTATCAAGACTGTATTTCCAAACTTATTACTTTGAAGCCCACACATCTTTTAACTTGTACAGAACTTTATAACAAGTTCCATGTATTTTTAATGCAGGAGAAAAGAAAATGGTGAGAGATACGTTCTAACTGTACAAGACCAAAGTCTTGTGAAGAACCAGGACACTGTAGATTTTGGCTTATGTGAAAAATAATGCAGGTAGTATATCCAGTATATTTTAGTTCAGCCTGTGCAGGCCTGCAAAAAAAAAAGCTTTTCTTAAAAGCAGTATTTTCTTATTGTATTCCCTTTACAGGTCTGCATTTCTACAAATATAGTCGTATAGATAAGCGTTTCTGAAGGCGCTTTGCCTTTCTACAAATCTCAATAATGGAAAGTACTGCTTCTACTTCAAATCTGATAAATAAAATGGCACAACATTGAAAGTATAAAGTCTACAATTACAAAATTGTTAATTGCCTGAGAAAGAGATGGTCCAAGTGAAAGGTATCAGATTTAAATGGCACTGATCAATTAATGACAGAATGTTATTTCCAACTTGATTATTTATCAAAGTTGAAATAAAACAGAGCACTAGCGATGACCATTTGATTCAGGGGCAGCAATTCATAAAGCCACAGATTTTGTGATCATGTGACTTAACTCTTATCTTGTTTATCCCTTGAATTCAATGAATACCCTTCCAAGCAGCTACTAAATAAATTTGATCAACATCAATCTGAACATCAGCCTACGCTGCTCAATAAAACTGCTGAAATTAGACTAATATCTGCTAAACATCTGCTACATATAAAATTTATAGCCAATAAGAAGCTCATGGTACCAACCTCTCAAATCAATAAGATATGTACACAGGTTTGGGTGTATTAACAAATACAATATTACAAAATATTACGAAAGCATTTTTCACTTGAAGTTGGCATAATCCGAAAATGCATCAATGTATTCTTGCACGACCTTGTAGCAAAATTCATACTGTTCCTGAAGAAAATAAAAATAAGAAGCTCCTGTTACAGTTAAAAGACATTTTGATTGCAACATTATTAGGCATTTCATTTAAAAAATGAATCACAAGGAAAATATCCAAATGGAGAAGAGTTGTGCAGTGCTAACTCTTATGCTTTATTTACTTAGGTTACAGAATGGTGGAGAGGTACTTTTGTCATGTCCACAAAGTATGAAGACAGATTATTTTTCTTTAGAGCTTTAAAACAACTCTTACATTTGATTTTTAAAATGGTCTCTTTACTGGATTTAAAACAGGTACTTTAAACACAGAATGGGCCAGTTAGTTGCTTTTGGAAACTTAAAGCAATTAACAAGACAAAAGTTAACTCAGCATCATTCTGGAATGTCACATGTCCTTTTGTATGAACCATGTAATAAATTCTACACGAATGATTTCAATGTGTGTACCTAGCCAGTCCTGAACAAAGGAAATCATTGAAACTCATTATGGCTGATGTGGTGATAATTGTTGTTTCCTATAACACCTAACGGTTTTGAAGAGAGACATCAAAACAAACATGTCCACCCGTACATCTCAGTTGTCCTCGTTTTTCAAGGACCGTAACTTCCCCTCCTTGGTGGTCGAGAACGCCCTCAACCGTGTCTCCCACATCTCCCGCACCTCATCCCTCACACCCCGTCCACGCAATAAAAACCAAAAAAGAATCCCCCTCGTCCTCACGTACCACCCCACCAACCTCCGGATCCAACGCATCATCCTCCGACACTTCCGCCATCTGCAATCCGACCCCACCACCAAAGACATCTTTCCCTCCCCACCTTTATCTGCTTTCCGGAGGGACAACTCTCTCCGTGACTCCCTTGTCCGCTCCACACTCCCCTCCAGCTCCACCACACCCGGCACTTTTCCCTGCAACCGCAGGAAGTGCTACACCTGCCCCCATACCTCCTCCCTCACCCCCATCCCAGGCCCCAAGAAGACTTTCCACATCAAGCAGATGTTTCACCTGCACATCTGCCAATGTGGTATACTGCATCCGCTGTACCCGGTGTGGCTTCCTCTACATCGGGGAAACCAAGCGGAGACTCGGGGACCGCTTTGCAGAACAC